GCTCCTGATCTCTGACCCCTGCTTTAGTCTGTGATGACCCAACCGATTGGGTCCAGGTGCCTCTGCTCTTGGCCCCTGGCTTCCAAATTGAAGCAGCCCTGCCCTTCCCCCACCCCTGTGTGCCGGCTAAACTGACTTGGGGAATCCTATGAACTTAGTTGTAGGCATTTTGGTACTTAATCAGGGGAGGCTCTAAGACAGCCATAGGTTGGAATCTGGATGGTGCGGGTGACCTTGAGCAAGCATCTCCCCTGTGAAATGATAGTAATGATGCATGCTGGAAAGGCCAGTCAGTGGGAGGAAAGGGGGCCGTCCTCCCCAGCCAGCTTCACAATATTCAGCCTCCATTGTGATCTGGGTTGTTGCTGGGAGTGGCTGCCTCGTGGGGGTTGGGCTGCCTCCAGAGCTCCTCCCCTGCCAGCCCACCTTTTAAAGCACGTGGGGACTCCTCCAGGCAGAGTGAAAAATGTTTTCCTTAGGAAGGCTGCCTGCTAGTCTCTGGTAGAAACCTCTGATAGGATCATGATTTGGAGTCACCCACCAATGGCCCAGAGAAAAGTGACTTACTTGCCTAGGGTCAGGAGGCCACTACTGGCTCAGCCAGGATGGGATTCCAGGTGTCTTGACTCTCAGCCCAGTGCTTGGGCCCATGGCACCCTGTCGCCCCAGCTGTCTGGGTTATTTTGGGCTCCCTCTGGTGCCAGCTGTCTGGCATCACTGCCCAAGAGCTGTCTGGTTAGAAGTAGCCAGCATGGTGCTGTTGGCTTCTCCTGGTGAGGGTCGGCTGGGTCTCCAGTCCCAGATGAGCTGCCCTTGATCCTTCTCCTTTGCTGGGAGTGGGGCTGTATCCCACTGGTCCCATTCTAATAAAGAGACCAGTGCAGGGACCAGGCTGTGCCCCACTGGTCCTACCCCCCAGCCCTAGTGAAGGAAGAGACTAAAAGTGCTTTGACGAATTTGCTGTAGTTCCCATTGATGCCCATACCATAGTCACTTAAATGATAACCTCACTGAATTCCCTTGACTCACTGGGGTCTTTACTTCCCCCTGATTCAGATGCCTAAATGATTGATTTATGTCTTCCCCTTCCAGCTGGCCTAACAGCCAGTCCTTCCACTCCTACCCTTGGACCCTCACGAAGCAAGAAGGTGCTAAACTATAGTCTGGATGTGATTCTTGGAAGGTAGAGATGGCTCAGAGCAACGTGGAAGGATTGTGCCTCTCCCTGCTTCTGACTTTCCAGTACCTCCCTCTTCTTTCTTTGTCCCCACCTTCCTTCCCCTGGGACATGGAGGGGCGGGGCAGCCTGTCCTCCTGTCATTCTCCTGGCTCTAAGAGAGGTGCTCCACCCACAGTCACCCAATGAGCTAGGGGCGGGCCTGCTCCAAGCAAGCCGGAGAGAAAGCCACGCCAGCGCCAGCAGAAGGGTTTCCGGGGCTGGGAGGAGGCTGGACTAACCTTACTACTGAGAGGATAGTGTCCCACCTCTTCCGGTCCCTGCACCAGGAGCCCTAGTGCTGAATATGACCTTTTAGACCCTCACCGTAGAGACCGATGACATGTAGCTGCTTGGACTGGGGAGAGTGACATCCCACCATATAGGATCTCTTGACTCCAATGCTTTCTCCAGCCAACTTGTGTCTACCTTTCACTTCCTGCCTATGTGAACTGGAAGGAGGAAGTTAGAAGGTAACCTGAGTTCTTTCTAAATTTTTGTTAAAGAGGGGGAATCTCACTTCATTGCCCAGGCTGGCCTCAAACTCCTGGGCTTAAGTGAGCCTCTGCCTCAACCTCCCAAGTAGCTGGGACCATAGGCACATGCCACCTTGGCTTATGAGGGGAGCATTTTGTACTCCAGAGGTGACCTACCCATCCTCCACCTGCCCTCTAATGCTTATAGGCTGCTGAGGCCTAGAGGGAGTCCTTTAGCCAGGTGGATAGACAGCCTGCTTCTCCCAGGTATCCTGGCTTGGCCACCTGGATTCTCTGGGCCCTCCGGAAGTAGCTTAAAGCTCCTGTCTTTGGGATGGGGGTGCTGGGATCTTTATCTTCCATTGTTATTTAATCATTGGGTGGTTAAACAATTTATGGTGCCTCAACACCCAGGGAAGTGGGTGCCCCATCCTAACTTGGACTGGCTGGACTTTGCCCTGAAAGATCAAAGTGGATCAGCAACCTCCACAACCCTGCAGAGGCCTCCTTGTGGCTACAAAGGCCACCTGGTATCTCCTTGGGGCTTCTGTGTCCCCCAGCTCTTGCAGCAAGAATCAGCCTAAAGATTTTTTTCTTTCCCTCCTAAAACTCTCCAGGAATTCTTGGTGAGCGGGAGATTGACTTGGGTCTGGGTCCTCAGAACATCTTGCAGGTGAAGGAGCAGGCCTCTTGGGTGGGTGTGCCCAGCTCTGCAGCTGGCTTAGCCTGGCAGGCCTCCTCTTAGGAAGTTCTGAGCAGCTGGCTAGGCTCCTGGGTATTTTTAGCTACATATCCAGCCCCACCATTACCATGAGTCCTGGGTCCAAATCAAACACGCTCCAGGCTGGATGGGGCTGGGGCTCTGCCAGCCTTCTGACCAGGCAGGGGTGGGTGGGTAGGCAGGCAGTCTCAGGCCAGTGGCAGCTGTTCTCCCTGGGCCCAGGCAGGAGAATGCTGGTATTTGCTCCTTTCCTCCCTTGCATTTTGTGCAGGCTTGCTCTGTTGCAGAGATCATAGCCACATTTCTAGGACGAAGAGTGGATGAAGGATGAAGATACTGAGGTCTGAGGATGTTGAGAAATGTCAGCAGCCCTCCATGGTGTGTATTGTTAACCAGGTGTTATGAGCCTAAGTGAGTTCTCTCTTCCTGTCCCTATCTTTCCCTGAGCTTCAGGGTGCTGGGTGCAGCTGGAGGGGAGAAGCCTGGGGCCCCTGCAAAGGTAAGTGGTTCTCACCTCACCCCCTACTCCCCAAACTCACTGTTCATGGCACAGTTACTCCATCCTTAGTTGGCCCCCTCTTCCCCCGACAACCTTAGGGTGCCACTGAGAGACTGGCACCAGATCCAGCCCTGCGTTGCCAGCAAGCTGGCTCCTTCCTGGTCACCCTGGGATAACTCAGGCCTAGTTGTGGTTGGACTCCTCCCTTGTGCAGGAGCCTCCTTCCAACATCCCCCTTGAGCCTGGCAGTCAGGCCCTGCAGCATTGAACCCCTGTTACTTGTCCATGTGGTTTGAGTACTAACCCTTGAAAATGGTTCACCTGTGGCCCACTCCAAAGCCTCACCTGGTTGTCTCACTCCCCGGCCACTGCAGAACCTGAGGCTTTCCTAGTTACAGTGCATTTGCCCAGGCAGAGTATCTAGCCTACCATCCAGCACTGCCCAGCTTAGTTCAAATGCCAACCACCTCAGCTTTCCCTGGGACCTTGACTGTGCTCTCTAAATTGCTCACATCTCCCAAACCCCATCAGCCTGCTTCCCCAAGACTGAGCTCTTATGAGGCAGGAACCCAATTGCCTCTCAATAAACATGTTGCAAAAAAAAAAAAGGAACGGATGAGTCTCTGTAAATTTGTCTTGTGGGTCCTTGACACAGAAGATGCTCCTCTGCCCGGTGACTGGCCAGAGGTCTTCCACCTAACACCCTGGGCGGATGCTGGCGCCGGCACCGCCCTCCCTGGCTCTGGCTGTTGTCTTGGTTTCCACCAGTAGTTGCTGCTGCTCCCTGGTGGCCAGAACTTGCCTAGCACCTACTGGAACTGAGCTAGCACTTAGGAGCTACTAGGTTGGCAATTTACCATTTACCTCCACAAAGTGAAATTTACTTGACCTTCCCTGAGAACTTGAATGTTAGGAGTCTTGGAGGCATGGTCAAGGGCAAGAACAACCTGATTTCTGCCAGCTCCTCCTTGAAGAAACCATGTAATTTGCCATACACATCCCCCATGATGATACCAGTTCTCTTAGACACCAGCTTTACCTACCCCAGCAGGGAGGACCACATCATTCGGCCATGCTTTGTTACTACTGAGGATAGCCATCTCCCTCCAGTCCTTGCTTGAGTAGGGGACAGTCGGCCCACAGTAACACAGGGAAGGGATGGCCACGAGTGGTCTCAGCCAGCTAGCCTGATAGTACCTGCACTGAAGTAAGCTCTCAAACCAACAGTGGTTTTGGGCAGGGGATAGGAGGAGTCCTGGGGTGATGGATGTAAGGCTACTGGGCAGAACACTTAATGACATTTCTTGGTGAGACATATTCATCCAAGTAGGTCTCCCTTGGCTTGCCCCTTCCCCCACGATGTCTGGCTGGTTTCACGCCTCTGGCCCCTGCAGGAAGGAAGCTATTGGCCACGTGTTTGGGTACTAACCCTCGAAAGCCTTTCACCTGCGGCCCACTCCAAAGCCTGGTCCCGACAGAGGGCGCCACGCTTCCTCCCTGCAGACCTAGGGAAGTGGAGGGACGTAGGTAACTGCCATTCCACACCGCTAGCCAGCAAGCGCACCAAGGTCCCCTGAGGGTCAGGGCCATCCTAGGTGAGCAGACACGATTCCTGTGCCATAGCCTCCCGGCACCACTACATCTTATAGGGAAATAGGCCAGGGGCTGATTTCAGCCATGCTACATAGCCAGAGATGGGGGCTTTCCCCAGAGCTCCTAGAACCCGGCTGCTAGGGGTACAATTCTCCAATCAATAAGTTCCTGTCCGAGGGGGACGGCCGAGATGGCCAATCAGAGGGTCCTGGTCAGAAAGGCGGAGCCTGCCAATCAAGGGTGCGGGTAGTGGAGTGGTGGAAACGATCCAGCCTTGCCCGCTGGGGGCGCGCATTGACGCGCCGGGATGGGAGTGGGAACTGCGCTTACGAGCCAGCACCCCGTTTCTCAGCTGCCTCAGTTTCCCTGGGAATTGGAAGTGACCCAGGGCCGGGACCCTGGTAGAAAGGAAACCAGCCGGAGGTGGGCTCGGGAGGCTGCCTGGTGGAGGTGGTGCTGGCTCGGGGGCGGGGCCTCCTTAGCCCCGCCCCCGCAGCGACTGCTTAGCCTGGCTTTGCCGGGCGCGCAGCCTCCAGTGCAGCTGGCTCCGGGCTATGGACACCCCCGGGGCCCCAGCCCCGACCGCGGCTCCGCGCCCGGGCAAGAAGGAGCTGAAGATCGTAATCGTGGGTGACGGCGGCTGCGGTAAGACGTCGCTGCTCATGGTGTACAGCCAGGGCTCCTTTCCCGAGGTGAGGCCCGCTGGTGGGTGGGAGGGGCTTGGGACCACTGGGGGTGAGGGACATCCTCAGACCGCGCCTAAGCCTCGACTCGGAGGTCCCGAGGTCCTGAGCCTTTAGGGGCGGCTGCCACTCCGGGGCATCCCATGGGAATTCCAGAGCCCAGGGGGCTGCGGAGCACTGAGCTGGATGGGGTGAAATTGGTAGGCAGTGGGGGTTCAGCCGGACCCTGGGCCCCTGCCGCACCCCTTAAAGACCACCCGTGCTCTTCCTCCTACAGCAGTACGCCCCGTCAGTGTTTGAGAAGTACACGGCCAGCGTGACAGTGGGCAACAAGGAGGTGACCCTGAACCTCTACGACACGGCCGGTAAGTGCCCCAATGAGCACAGTTTGCTCTCCAGGGGTTTCCCCTCTGGGGCATCCCGGTCTGGCAGCCTTGCTGCTCCATCAGACCAGGAGGCAGCACAGGTCTGCTAGCTCCGAAACCACCAACCGAACCGTCCCATCTGTAAATGGAGGAGATAGGATAAGGTGAACTCCTGGGCCACCCTCCCATGTCTGTGCTGAGAGCCCCCCTCCCCCCTGCCTGGCTTGTTTCTCTCCTGTGGTTCTAGAAAACGTGGGCAGCGCTTCTGCCTTCCGTGGTTCCAGGATTTCATGCGTTACTTGCTGTGGTCTCTGAAGATTCTGTGGGCTGCGGATTTGAGCCCCCGGGGAGTCTCTGAGCTGCCTTTCTGAATCCTGTGATTCTAGGATACTCAGCTCCCCATCCAAGCTGGGTACTGGCATGCTGTGGCTGGCAGTTCTGTGTCTGTGTCCCTTGCTTCTGGGATTCCATGGACTGCAGTCCCTGGTTCTGGAAATCTGTAGCTACAGTTGACTTTGTGCTTTCCTGGTTTGTTTGGAGGAAAAACCAGACAGCTTAAGAAAATGAACTGAGGAAGAAAGAGGAGACCTCTAGGAAACATAGGCCCCAAATAAGGCTCTAACACCTGCAGCTCCTCACAGGGGGGTTTATGGTTTTCTGGCCAAAGGCATGAGAATTGAATTGGGGGGATGGGAGAAACACAGTGTGAAGACCCTGCTCGCTTCTGGGTGACCTCAACGTTGGAGAGCAAAGGTTGGGATTCCCAGGTGGAACCTCACCCAGTTCTGTGACTCAGTCATCATTGACTTGGGTGGAACTGTGTCACCAAGTGTCCCTTCCCCTGCCTACCAAGCTTTGTGCATGTGAGGTGAAGTCTCTGACCCTCCTAGATGAAGCCTTAATCTAGATATTCCCCTTGGACAAGGGCTGTCCCTGGCCCAGACCTCTCCTCTATTCCTGCCATGAGCAGGCTTTGCTTGTAGGAGTGACCCACCCTTACAGTAGCCTCTGAAGATCCCTGCTTTTGGATGAGGGCCCTGCAGGGCTGCCTGCAGAGAAGAGCGGTGCCTCCAGGCCTAGGTGAGCTGGGAAAGCCAAAGGAACTCCCAAGGCAGGGTCCAGAGGGCAGTACAAATATGTCTGGGACACTTTTATTTTCACATTTCTTGTTCAGGAGCCAGGGATGGGCAGGGCTTTATGAGTGGAGTGCTGGGGGGAGGGGGAGAGAGCTTGCTTTCAACTTGAGGCTCTGGGAGAGGAGAGGGGAGTTTGCTCTCTCCTCCTCCCTCTGCCAGGCCTCTCCTGTTAGATACCAGAGTTTTCTGTTCAGGGCAACCTCCCCCATCAGATCAGAAACAGAGATCACTTCTGGTTTCTGGCTTCACCCAGAGAAAGATGCTCAAAGAACATCTCGGAGTAGATTGTCATGTGAAGGTTCCAGAAAGTTGCTACTTGGTGGAAGAGTTTGTAATAAGAGGCCCTTCCGGAGGGATGGAGGGAGTGTCTGTTAACTGTCATTAGAAGCTTGTGAGTGCTGTGCAGTGATGGTCCTGGCCACAGCTCCCTGCCACCTGTTTTGGAGTTAAACCAGGCTCTACTGGCTGGGTATCATTGGGAACATCAAGTTTTCTCATCTGCCATCAGGGCTAAAATGGTTATGAGAATTAAATCAGAATAATATGATGTGTGGCACTTCACACAGCAGCTGGCTCTGAGGAAGGTACATGTTGTCACTGGGATTTAATTAAATCCTCCTGCCATTCAAGGCCCAGGACCCAGCCCAAGCCTGTGCTTTAGGATCCAGGGCCCAAGAGCTCTATGCTGGCCTCCAGGCCTGGCTGTACGGGGGACAGCCATCTTCCTGGCAAGATTCTTCCAAGCTGCAGAAAAGCAGTGCTGGGGTTTGTGCCCTCCATGAATATGTGTGTGTGTGTGTGTGTGTGTGTGTGTGTATGTTTTGAGGGGGTGGGGTATCAGGGAGGTGTCCTCATAGTCAGCACAGTAGATCAAGGAGGGATTCTCAGTGGGGAAGGAATCTAGCTGCTCCCTCAAGAGTAGCCACTGTGACCGGGGAAGCCCTGCTGGTGGGAGGAAACTCCCTGGTTGGTAAGCAGTGCGGGGATGAGCCCGGGTCATTCCTCCTATGTATCAAGTGCTTGTCGTAGAGGCAACTCAGGAAATGACCGTGGAATGAATGAATAATACATCTGAATGTTGGCGGCCATTCAGCTCTACTGTGGGGAGGGAGGATGGATACTGGGAGAACTGGGCAGAAAAGGCTGGCCAGGTGATCATCGAGAGGAAGGAGGAGGCTAAGGAGGGGAGGGGAATGGATGAAGTAGAGATGAGTCTAGTAAATGTTGTAGAAAGTTCCAGAATGATGGGTTAGCCCTGGTGAGGGAGAGGGGCATCTTCCCCATCAGTGGTGACCAGAGCTATGGGAATTGAGTGGCCCCAGGGTGGCTGAATTTCTCAACACACCCGACCAAGTGACAGCTGTGGGCGGTGCCAGGACCTTGCCCACAGTGCCCGCGTGCAAGGCCAGTCTGGCTGCCTGTCTCCATCCTGCGGAAGCAGTTACAGACACCCAGCGGTCTGACAGAGCACCCTCTGCTCAGAGGTGGAGAGAGGGTGGGGACCAGAGCACCCATTGCTCTAGTAGCCTGGCCCCACCCTGACATCCTCAGAGGCAGGAAGCTGTGGTGAGGCCTGAAGGTTCCTGGGCAGGATAGCAAGGCGAGGAGGGGGCTGTGGCACCTAGAGACTGCACTCTTAGGCCTGGGGATGGGATCCAGGGTGAAAGGGGCACAGAGTGGGTGGGAGCCTGAGATGGGAACAGTAGGAAAAGAGGGGGGCAAAAGAGCTGCTAAGACAAGGAATCAGAGGTGAGAGTGCTGTGGAGCCCTGGAGCCAGCCAAAGCTGGGGACCAGTCAGAACATGGTTCTGGCTGAGGATCCGGGCTGCCCCAGCTACTCCTCTCCCTAGGGAGGAAATGCAGGTGGGAGGGCCCCAGCACAGCTAGTAGGAGTGGGTTCCTCCTCTTGCAGCTTCCCCTTCTCAGGCCGCCTACACCCCTCCCCTGTCCAACGCCCTGGACAGAGCTGGGAACCACCTGCTCTGTGCATGTCCTCCAGCAGAATTGGGGACAACCACTGTAGCACAGTGACACTCTTTCTCTCCTCAACCCAGCTTTGGGCATTAGGGACTCCTGCCCCAGAAAGAGGGTTGCAGAGGCAGAGCTCCATCCCATGCAGGAAATACCCCCAGGTTGGGTGAAAACCTCACTTCCGCCCTGCCCCACACTGACTGTAGGAAGAATGGGAGGCTTCAAGGGAGCTTGGGCCCAGAGACCTTTCCTCATGAGAAATAAATACATCCTTTTGCACAGGACACTGGGATGTTTTTAACCTCCAAGCCCATCATGGAGGCTAGGTGGCAGCTCTACATGGTTGGGCAAGTGACTTGGCCCCTGTAAGCCTTGGCATCATTGTGGGCAAAATGGGGAAGGGCAGTGGTATCACCTCATGTCTGGGAAGTCCCCTAATGCTATGGGTCTAAAGATTCCTGGGCTGGAACTCCACCCAGGCTCGTAACTTCCCTTGGAAGTTTCTGTTTCCGTAGGAACCATCACAGCAGTCCCTCACCTCTGCCTGGCCTTGCATGGCCTGCAGGCCTTTTACTTCCCAACTCAGGGCAGTATCACCCCCTTTCTCAGATAAAGAAATGAGGCCCAGGAAAGGAGGGTGCCGAAGTCCTGGAATGTGCATTTCAGTGCAGCCTGGACATACAGTCCACCCCTCCCAGGGAAGCAGGGGTCAGCAGCACATAGAAGTGCCTCGTCTACAGCCCTAGGCCTTCTGAGGGGCTCAGAGTAAATCCTAGGGAGAGCTAAACTGGTGAATTTAGGCCAGGAAGACACTCTGGAGGAGGTGCTAGGGTCTGGGCTGGCTGCTTGTCTCCTCCCAGAGTCCCTCTTTCTTGAGGTGACTGTGTCTGCAGCCACGTTTCCTCACCTGGTCAGGCTGGAGTGTGTGGGTTGACACATGTTCCGTACCTTCTGGGGTGGGTTGAGAGAAAGGCACCTGTATAGTCCTCTGTCATTTATAAAACTTCCCATTAGCTGGGTGACTTTGGCAAGTCACTTCACTCTTTGTGCTTCAGTTTCTCTATTTGTAAAATGGGACAACGGTAGTGTCTACCTTGTAGGGTTGTGAGAAAGGCTGAGTTCATTCAGGGAAAGGGCTTTGGATGGGGTAAGTGTTCATGATGACTACTGTAGTTATTAACCACCCTTATGATTGCTGTCATTGAAGCATATCTGCTTTTCACATGGTCATTTTGCAGATGAGGAAACTGAGGGCCAGGAGTTAATTCCTAGGGGGGAAGGTTGCCAGGGAGAGCTAGTGCTCTGAGTGGCCTGCAGGCAGCTGACCTGGGCCCTGGGGACTGAGCTGGTCCTCCAGTTCACAGGATGTCTGCCTCTGACCCTGACAGAGGCCGCCTCAGCCTTAACAGGAAGAGCTTTCCGTGCCTGGCTTACCCCCTGGGCCGCTGCTGGAATTAGCACAGGCCAGGAAGCCAGATGCCCTTGTGAGCAGGCGCTGGAGGGCGTGTGGGGGCACAGCTCCCCCTTGGTTCCTGAAGTCACCAAACATTTATTGAGCTTACCTGTGTTCCAGGGAATGCCACAGTGAACAATGCAGAGACAGCCCCCGTGCTTAGGAACAGACAAACAGAAAAGAGAAAAGTACTGGCACATTAGGTAGCCATTTGTGCTGTGAAGCAAAATAAAGCTTCTGTCACAGGCCAGACTGCCAAGGAGGCTGCTGTTTCAGGGCAGTCAGCAAAGGTCTCCTGGAGGAGCCAGGAAAGAAAGGGGGAAGCAAGCCAGGCTGCTACCTGTTGGAAGAGCCTTCTGGAAGAGGGGCCAGCCAGAGCAGCACCTGTGTAGGGGGCAGGCTGGGTGCAATTGTTCTCAGCCCTCGTGGTGAGACTTCCTCCTTCAGTCCCCTGCAGTCTGGCTGCTGCCCTCAACATCTCCACTGAGACCACTCCTTCTGTCACCGCAGCCTGTAATTGCTAAACACAGTGGGCACATCTCAGCCCTCATCTCTGTTGCCTTTGCCAAGAGCTGAACAACTTAAACACGGTAGTTAGCCAGTATTTCCTCAATGCCTCTAGGTGCCAGGAATTATTTTTAAAGACAGACATGGTCCCTGCCCTCGTGTACGCACAGTCTACAGGGAGACAGTAAACAAGTCAGTTTCTAAGGATGGAGGTGGGGGTGTGCCCACAGAAGCCATCAGGAGCCTGGTAAGAGACAACCTTGAAAAGCAGGCTGAAGGAAGTCTAGTCAGAGCAGGTGGTGTTCAAGCCCAGGGTGAGTCTGCCCTGGAGAAAAGGGGAGGAGAGAATGGAGGGGAGATGGCCAGAGTGTCCTGGGCCCCATATTATAATGGCTGGTTCCCTGATGCAGAATTTCTGGAACCCACTGTTAACATCCTAGAAGCCCAGAATGTTTTTGTTTTGTACTGGGGATTAGACCCAGAAGGTCTCTACCATTGAGCTACACCCCCAACCCTTTTTAATTTTTATTTTGAGGTAAGGTCTCGCTAAATTTTCTAGGCTGGCCTGGAACCTGCATTCCTCCTGCCTTAGCCTCCATAGTTAAATGGCATGCACCACCATACCCAGCTCCAGAGCCTGATTTTGCATAATACAAAACCAGAAAGCATTCATTTGTATCAGCAGAAGGAATATTCCACTTGGAATTTCACAAACTAGGATTGACTCCTGGCTCAGTCACAGATTCAGGGAGTTTGGGCACAATCCTTCTGTATCTTCTAAGAAATGGGAAGATAGTCCTCCTTCTGGATCTGTGACCACCCACAGATTCCTAAATTCACTGATGCTCAAGTCTCTGGTATAAAACAGGGAAGTATTTGCATATAACCTATGGCCAACCCCCATGACTTTAAATCATCTCTAAATTACTTATAATACCTCATACAATGTCAGTGCCTTGTAAATAGCTGTTATTGTTTAGGGAATAATGACAAGAAAAAAATCTGTACACATTCAATACAGATGCAATTTTTTTTTTTTCCTAGTTTCTAACTGAGGTTGTTTCTGTGGATACGGGACCTGACATTGTGGAGGGCTGACTGTATTCATTGTTTTCCTATCATATGAAGTTGTAGTGTAAGGATTTCTTTATTACCTATAGACAGAAGCACTCTAGAAGCTAGGGGACATATAAGGTATTTTATGAAAGTAGAAGTAGAAAGTAGGCAGGAAACCTAAAAAAGGAAATAATATAGTCTGAATGTGTGCCAAAAACATGCAATGAAGAAAAGGGGGGGGGGGGGGGGTGTGAAAGCAATAAGGAAAGAACATTCCAGGCATTGGGGACAGTGAGCACAAAGGCTCTGAGGCACAAGGGCTTGGTGGGCTTGAGAAATGGAGCTGGTAGCCTGGAGTGAACTGCAGTGGGCAAGCAGGTGTAGAGGGAGACCAAGTCGGTGGACCATTGGGAGATGTTTAGATTTTGTACAAAGGACAGTAGGGAGCCATTGGAGGTGTTTCTGCTGTGGAGAGGTGAGTAGGATCTAATTGGTGCTTCAAGATCACTCCAACAGCGAGTTGGAGAATGGATTCATCAAGGGCTACAGGAGACCAGGGAAGAGATGGTGGTGGGGAGAAGCGGGGCAGGGCGGGGTGGGTCTCAGAACCAGCCGTCCAAAGGACTTTCTACAGTGGTAGGGGTGCTCTATACCTGTGCTACCCATTGCTGTAGCCACTGTCCCCATGTGGCAGTCAGTTACTTGGAATGTAGCTAGTGCAACTGAGGAACTGAATTCTTAAATGCTAATTTGAATCTAAATAGTCAGATGGAGCAGGCCACTGACTGCCCTACAGGACAGCACAGGCCCAGAAAGACATGGACAGAGGTTAGGAGAGGGAACAGTTTGGGGACACATGTGGAGCAGCATGTTGGAGGTATGTCTCACAGGTAATCTCCAGCCTCCAGGTGGGGAGGGGTGATGGGTCTGAGCCTTCACCCCTTTCCCAGGGTTAGGGGAACTTTGGTTGAAGGACCCCGGGGACAATCCTGGCCTAATCATTGTCATAGCTGTGGCTTTTTGTCCATACTCTCATGACCCCCATGCACTGGGTGCATTGGCTGGGGTCAGTCCCATGAAACAGGTTTTATTAAGACATCTCTTCCAGGTGGGGAAACAGGCTCCCATGGGTGTCCAAAGTCAAGGTCACATAGAAAGTGAGAGGCAACTGGGATTTGAACTCCTGTCTGGTCTGTCTCTATTGCCCGTGAACTTCAGCACTGTGGTGCAGTGGAGCTGGCTGAGGGCCTTCAGGGTCCATGGATGGAGGGGGAGCCAGGAGAGAGTAACTGTGGAGACATGGCCTGGCTGTGCTCCACGCAGAGGCCACTTGTCCTGAGAGGAATTTGGCAGGAAGGAGCGGAGGGCAGACTAGTGTCATTAGGGCACTCCTACCTGCAGGGTGGGGTGATTCCTGGGCCTCCATGTCCTTGTTCAGTGGAAGGACATCACAGAGCCTTTCTGCAGAGGTAGCTGTGGGGGTTGCTTATGAGGCTTAAACTTCTCACAGTGGAAGTTTTAGAAGAATACCAAGGCATTGGGACTAAGGAAGATGTCCAATCCTGGCTAGATCCTGGACTAGGAAAAAAATAAAGGACATTATTGGTAAATGGGCAAACTCTAACATGGCCTGGGGATTGGATCAGAGTCCAGGGTCTGCGTGGCTTCCTGGGTTTGACATTGCAGTGTGGCAGGTAAGAGAAGCCCCTGTTCTTAGGAAATCATTTCTCAGCTGTAAAGACTAGAATATCTGCAATTAGCTCTCACTGGTTCTGAGACAAAAGGTGTTTATATATATATAAAGCAAGTGGGGTAAAACATAAACACTGTGAATCTGAGTAGGGAGTGCTTTACACTCTTTGTTGCGATTTTTCTGTAAGTTGAAACTGTCAACATAAAAAGTTACCCCCCAAACTTTTAAATGAAAGCCTAAGAATCCAGCCACGTGGAAGCCCAGCTTCTGGGTTCTGATCCCACTGTGGTCAGGGAGTGTGGGCTCCAGGATTGTTCCCTGTTCCCAGGTGGGCCTGATGTACAGCTGAGATGATGGAGGCTGCAGGGCCAAGAAGGGCTGCTTGCTGCTTTTTCCAGCAATCCCCCACCTCCTGGCATCTGTGAGCATGGGCAGGAGGAATCCAGCCAATCATGGCAGAACCAAGGAGACTAGAGGCTGAAGCCCACACAGACTCTGGGCCTTGAGGACCCTCCTGGGCCCCCATGGGTCTGAATCTCAGGGGTGGGGGCCCCAGAGTTCGAGCTTTTACCCCGAGCATCAGGCGGGGGAAGTGCACCCAAGGTCTGCAGAGTTACTAGCAGTTTTTCCAACACTTAACCTGCCATCACTTGACTCTGAGCAGTGCATGGGCTTGTTTTCATGTAATCTACTGCCCCATTCTATAGAAAACTGAGGCCCAGAGGGCACCCCCACTCCACTCATGGAAGCCTAGATAAGGGGGCTCCAGCAGACAGAGATATGTGCCTATCTGATGCCACCCTCTGGTTTCAGGGCAGGAAGACTACGACCGGCTGCGGCCCCTCTCCTACCAGAACACCCACCTTGTGCTCATCTGCTATGATGTCATGAACCCCACCAGCTATGACAACGTCCTCATCAAGGTGAGGCCCCCAGCCTGCCTTTGAGGGTAGGGGCCATGGAATCAGGACAGCCCCAGTCCTGATACTCTGCCTCCTCCTTCCACAGTGGTTCCCTGAGGTCACACATTTCTGCCGAGGGACCCCCATGGTGCTCATCGGCTGCAAGACAGACCTGAGAAAAGATAAGGAGCAGCTGCGGAAGCTCCGGGCGGCCCAGCTGGAGCCCATCACCTACACACAGGTGGGCCAGGACCTCAACCCCACCCACAACCATAGGCCAAGGTCTCTCCAGTGCTGCCTGCCTCAGCCCTTTCCAAGGAGGTCAGGGTGCCAGCAAAAGAGACTTCTGAAAACACCCCCACCATGGCACATAACCATGGCAGAAAGACCTCCAGACTTTTGAGCTCTGTAACTGGGGTGCCTCAGTGGCCTTTCTGGGAGCTGAAGCAAGCAGGATTCTAAGAATAATTTTAAAGCTGATAGCTTATGGATCTGAGCACTTGACATTACTTCCCTCATTTGATTCTTACGTTTCTAAGACGGGTCCTAATAACCTCCCTCAGTTCACAGGGGAGAAACTGAGACCCAGGGAGGTTCAACAACTTGCCCATGGTTTCAGGTTCAGCAACCTGAAAGTGGAGTCAAAATCCAGCCCCAGTCACTGAGGACCAAGAGTCTGCTCTATCAACTCCATCCTGCCCTGTACCCAGGGCGTCCAGGAGTGCAGTCCTCATTTGAAATTGGGTGTCCTCTGGAGCCTCTGAGAGTCACAGCAAACCCAAGCCTTGCAGTTTTAGGGATGAGGCATGTGAAAATAGTTAGAATAAAAGGAACACAAAAATAATTTAATAAAGAAACTTTAATAAAAGGAATAAGCTTAATAATGACTAATTTATTTTTAAAATAATGTTTGTTTGTTTTTAACTCAAAAAACTCAGTGGCTTAAATTGTGCTGTCAGAGAAGAGAAGGGAGACAGGTGTCTAGGAGGAGGTAGTCTCTGTCTTGGAGCCACCCACCTTTCCTCACGGGCTGGGAAACACCGCCCCAGCCCCAGTTCTTAGCGTTCAGCCCGCTCTCCCTGGAGCTGGAGAGAGGCTGGGGTGGAGGCTAACACAGGGCTTCTACCAGGGGTGGTAGTCAGTGTGGGGATACCAGAGAGCCCTAAAGTCCATCCACACACACTGGTGAGGACTGGTCCTAGGATGGAGAAGGGACAGGAGTCCCAGCCAAGGCCTCTACCTCTGAAGAGTCCCCAGAGCCAGCCTCCAGCCTGTGAATCTCTAACAAGGTATCAGGAGGCCCCAGGCTCCTCATCTAATAATGCCTCCTCCCCCACTCAGGGCATGAGTGCTTGCGAGCAGATCCGAGCTGCGCGCTACCTGGAGTGTTCTGCCAAGTTCCGGGAGAACGTGGAAGACGTCTTTCGAGAAGCCGCCAAGGTGGCCCTCAGTGCTCTGAAGAAAGCACAGCGGCGGAAACAACGCCGGGTATGCCTGCTGCTGTGACACAGGCACAGGCCTCAAAACAGGACTAATAGGGTCAGGGACCCAGGCCTAGACCACTCCTAGGATTCTGCCCCGTCCCTATCCCTGTGGCACCTGGGACCTCAGGCTGCACTCTTAGAACATTCTGGAACTCTCTCCTTTCTGTGAACTTACCTTCGGGTTCACAGAGAGTGTAGCAGTGATTGAGGGAGCCGGATACATGTCCCTCTACCCTGGAACCAGCTTTTGTTCCCAAGACTCAGGAGGGCCCTATCATGGTCTCCCCCTTGTTTGTCCCCCTTTGCACACCTAATTCATGCTTAAAACGTAGGACTTCATGTGAGTATGTGGGGATTTGGCACCCTCCACACGGTGCCCCTCAAACTTGCTGCTTCCATGTCACCCTCCTCCCTGGCCTCCCAAGATAGGTATGGCTGCATCCTCCAGCCTCTTCCTTCTTTCCCCCAGACCTCCAGGGCCACCACAGGGCCAGGGCCTATCAGGAGAACACAGGCAACAGCCCTGGAAGTGAGGCTGGCACTAGACCCTCCCTCTTCCTCTTCCTCCTCTGTCCCACACAGCGGAACTCGGCTTTTAGATTGGGCACCATCATGTGTGCCCAGGGGAGAAAAAAGTGATCTCTCAAAAGGTCAGATGCCCTGGGTCACCCCCTGACCCCTATTCCAGGTCTTACCTCTGGACCCTACTCACACCCCACCAGGGACTCAGGGTGAAAAGTGCCTGGGGAGACCTCTGTTCTCTCCTGGGATTGTCTCCCATCTTCAAGGGCCCAGGAGGGGGCCATTTAAATAGGCTTTCCACATGCCCCTCACAGCCTGCTTGTATCAGGATGTGGAGCTCAGAACTGCTCATCCTGGTCTCCTTCGAGTACTGACATCAAAACCCCTGTCCATGCAGGCCCATAGCCTGCCTGTGTCCCTGCCAGCCAGCTGCCTACACCCTGAACCTTTCAGAAGGTCTGGGATTGGGCATCCAGGACTTTTTAAACAAGTGCCCAGTGGCTCTAATGCCTGAGACAGCTGTGTGGTTGTGAGGGAACCTAAGAGTCAGTGTTGCCTGAAATGGTACCATGATCTTGGCCGGCATCTGTTCTCCCTAGTGCTGCCTGCCTCAGTCCCTTCCAGGGAAGTCAGGGTGCCAGTGAAAGAGACTTCTGAAAACCACCCCACCAGGTTCCCCAAGGCCCTGCTGTCCCCTGGGGAGTCATCCACGGACCTCTCGTTCTCACAGAATGCAAGGCCTTATGGACAAATGATGGTTTAGGGTGGAGGTCGGCAAACTATGGCTGCAGGCTACATCTGGCTACCATCTATTTTTGTAAATAAAGTTTTATTGGCATCGCCAAACCCACTTTTGTATGCACTGGCTCCTTTTACTCTACAACTTCAGACTAGTCGCCAGAGAGGCCACGTAAAACATTTATTGTCTGGCCTTTGATAAGAGTTTTCTAACTCCCAGCTGGGAAAACTTGGGTGCCTACAAAGGGCTGAACAGAGATCCAAACAAGGGGAGTAGGGCAGGGGTAAAGGGAACGGTGGGACTGCCAAACCAGAGAGCAGGTGCCTGATCTCACCTTGTGGGAATGCTGTTGGATCTTTTCTTTTGTTTGTGTGTCGGGGGTGGGTACTGGGGATTGATCTCAGGGGCTTTCTACCACTGAGCTACATCCCCAGCCCTTTTCTTTTTTCCCTTGGTACCAGGGATTGAACTCAGGGGCACTCAACCACTGAGCCACATCTACAGCACTTTTTTGTATTTTATTTAGAGACAGGGTTCAACTGAGCTGCTTAGCACCTCACTGTTGCCCGGCTGCCAACCTTTTTTTTTCAAGACACTTTCTTGCTATAGTTACCCAGGCTGGTTTTGAACTTGTGATCTTCCTGTCTCAACCTCCTGAGTGCCTGGGATTACAGGTGTGCACCACAGAGTCCAGCTCTTTCCATTTTTCTAGAGGAAGTAGAAATCTGGATTTTAATATGAAATCTCACTGTGGGGAGGGCATTGTTTTTTAAATGTAACTAATTAAAATAATTTAAAACCCCTTTGAGCAGGGCACAGGGGCAGACACCTGTAATCCCAGCTACTTGGGAGGCTGAGGCAGGAGTATCACAAGTTTGAGGCCAACCTGGGTAACTTTGCCAGACCCTGACATAAAGTAAAAAATAAAAAGGGCTGGGGATGGCTATCCTACTCCTCAGTTCATACTCAAAGGATTTAAAATCAGCCTACCACAGGGACACAGCCACATCAATGTTTATAGCAGCTCAATTCACAATAGCTAAACTATGGAACCAACCTAGATCCCCTTCAACAGATGAATGGATAAAGAAAATGGAGTACATATACACAATGGAATATTACTCAGCCTTAAAGAAGAATGAAATTATGGCATTTTCAGGTAAATGGATGGAACTAGAGAATATCATCCTAAGTGAAAAAAGCCAATTCCCAAAAAACAAAGTCTGAATATTTTCTCTGATAAGCGGATGCTGATCCATGGGGGAGAATGAAGGAACTTTGTATTATGCAGAGGGGAGTGAGGGTAGGGGTGGGGCTGTGGGGATGGGGCAGATGATATACAATGAGACAGACATTATTACTCTACATACAGGTATCAATACACTACTGGTGTGACAGAGGAAGGAGAATTTGTGTTCCCTTTCTGTACAAGGTGTCAAAATGCATTCTACTGTCATGTACAACTAATTAGAACAAATTTAAATTTTCTTTTTTTAAAAAAGGCAGGGCTGGGGATGTGGCTCTGTAGTAGAGTGCTACCCTAGAATGTGTGAGGCACTGGATTCAACCCCTTACACACACAGACACAAGACACACAGACAAACCTCTGAAAGCCAATGGAAGCATGTCTGTGGGTACCAGCTATGTGGTCTGGTCTGGGTGGATATGTAGGGAAATGGTCAAAGGCAGTTGAAGCCTGTGCATAGGTGGGCAGGGGCAGGCACTGAACTGAACCTGCTGGCTTCTTCACCCTCCCCACTACAGATCTGGCTGGGTACCCATACAGCAGCTCTGGCCTCACAGGCTGGCCTCTGGGAGTGAGCCTGCTCAGACTGTCGCCTTTCTCACATATTACAGAACCTCTGAGGGAGGTGGGGAATGGGCCATCTCCGAGATGCTTAAGTCCCAGCCAGCGCTGAGTGTGTGGCTCCTAGGCCCTGAGTATTTGTAGTACACTTGGGAAGGTGGACTGAGGGAGGGGGTCAGGAAACCCTGAAGGATGGCCTGGTACTTCCAGTATCAACGACCTGGGCCACTCTAACAACCCAGAGGCTGGTGCGCCCTCTAGTGGCCAACTTCTTAAACCCTCCCACACTAGGACTAGCCCTCCCAGTGACTCCAAGGGGGCACAGCCCTCAGGTCCCAGGGAGGCAAAGCCACTTTCCCAAGGACCAGCAGGCAGGTGACTCAGGAAGCACAAAAGACTTGAGACAAACACAGGCAGTGGTTCTCTGAGAACTTAAATAATCCCCCATCACTGAGGGCGGGGGGCCGCGGAGGGGGCTTACAGCAGGGGCCCAGGGGAGGGGGCTCCACAGGATGCTGGAAGGTTTCATTCCACCCTGCGCCTGGGGTGCGGTAAGCAGCAAGTCAGCATAAGTCCAACCCCTGTGAGGCACATCCAAACCCCTTCGTGAGGGGGTTCAAATGACAGGGGTGGGGGCAAAGGGGCTCCCTGAGGATTTGGGCCCCACCCCTAGGAAGACTGACCCAGTCTCAGCTATTGCTGAGAGCAGCAGGGAAGGCCTCAGATTCTAGGGAAGTTGGGAGGACCCGGTATTAAATATGTCATAAATAGGGAGACTAATACTGTGCAGAGAGGTGGGCTTCACATTCCTCATGTCCTGCTTGGGAGGGGGCCTTAGCCCTGCTCCCAGCAATGCCACTGGCCCCTGAGATGCTACTGCTGTTGGCCACCAGTGACGGGCATCCAGGGTGCCAACAGGAATCCCCAGTAGTCTCAAAGTCCGGGACCCCAGGGGCACACAAGTTGAGATGCTCACAGCTTCTTCATCTCATTTCTGTTCTGGAATTTGGCACACCCAACCCTGAATGCAGACAAGTCCAAGGCTCATGGCTTCTTCGTCTTGTTTCTGTTCTTCTGGAGTTTGGCGTGCACGACCTTGAGCGTGGTCAGGAAATTGCCAAGGAAGAGGACGAGGAAGGTGAGAGCCAGCACGAACACCTGTGGTCCCACAGGGATGCAGCGCCCAGCAGCACAGAGGGCAGGGTGGGTGGAGAGGAGAGAGAAGCTGGGTCAAGTCCCCTGCTGAAGTGTAGGTCCTCACCTGGGGCCCCAGGGCCCCAGCAAAGCTGCAGGGGTTTCCAGGTGCAGAAGTAGGTGAACTCGGTAAAGGCAATGAGTTCCCAGCATCAGGCTGGTCCTGAAGGAGCATTTGACTGGGTGGGCCTCCTTAGCCCCTAGATCCCTGAGGGGCTCCATGAAATCCCTCCCACTATCTCCCAGAGTTTTCTGAGCAATAGGGCCCCAAGGCAGAGAAAAGTAAGTGGCTGAGGACAGAAATGTCCCTAAGCCAGCTCAGCACCAGCAAGGCCTCACCCCTACTCACACACATGCCACACAAACGCCATACCTGCCATTCTCTGCATTCTTCATGGCTGGAGAGCTCAAACAGTGTGACAGCATTGTAGAGCTGCCAGAACTGGAGACAGGAAGACAGTACTGTTCACCCACTGAAAAGTCAGGGAGATGTCCAGACCCCAGCTTCCAATCCCACCTGCACGAGGCATACCCCCCAGATAAACTGCACCCCAGGCAGGGTGGGTATGAGGACCAATTCTGGCTTCTTTCCTTAGTATCCCTGGACCCAGAGGGCATCCCTGAGGCTTCTTGCTCCTTCAAGAAGACTGACTTGGTCTTGGCCATTGGCTAAGAGCAGCAGGGAAGGCCTCAGATTTGGGGGAAGCTGGGGTGGGCTAATACTATGGACAGAGGAGAGGTGGGCTTCACATTTCAGCTGCCTGTAAACAACTGGTGAAGAAGGGGGAGACCTAAAGACCTTCTATTCCTGGGATCAGCACAGACAGGGGCACCTCAAAATAGCAGGGGAACTCACATGGCCACAGAAGAGGAAAGGGAGGAGGAAGGTGAGGCCTCGCCACATCCAGGACTGGAATCCTTCTGTAGAAAGCAGCAAGGAGCCAAGGGCCCATATGAGGGGACTCAAGGGGCCACTGCCCCACCATGTACCCTAAGATTAGCCAGCAACTAACACCAGGCAGGCACTGTTCACCTTCTATAGGTGGGTAAGCACTCCACCGCAGTAACAACCCAGAGACCTGCAGAGCCCCTGTCACCATACCCAACTGCTCTCTCAAGTCACCATGAGACAAGGCCCGACACTACTCATGAGGCTTCAGGCACTGTGTTTTCACTAATTTCCTTAATTGGTGCAGGAGTTTGCATTTTGGAATGGGCGTTTGCACATATCGCTTCAATCATATTAAAGTAGGGCTTTTTTTTTTTTTTTAAACCAGGGATTGAACCCAGGTGCGCTTAACCCCTGAACCACATCTCCAGCCCTTGTTTATGTTTTATTAGAGATGCTGAGTTGCTTAGAGCCTCGCTAAGTTGCTGAGGCTGGCTTTGAACTTGCAATCCTCCAGCCTCAGCCTCCAAACTTGGTAGGATTACAGGCATGTGCCACAGCACTGGGCAAATAGGGCCTATTTTGCAGAGTACTCAGGTAGAAATGACCTTCTCCAATGATAGCACAGCTTTATTAGAAATAGCTTCCCCTTAAAGTTTAAATGAGGGAAAACTCTTTTTTGACTGAGCATGCCATGGATGAAAAGGGTTAAGCTCATATTTCCAATATACAATGTTTATACATTTTTAAAATTGTTTTGGTGCCAAGAATTGAACCCAGGGCCTTGCACATCTAAGCAAATACTCTACCACTGAGCTATCCCTCCAACCCCTATTTATACATATTTATACATATATGTGTCATACATGAATTACATGCAAACCAATACTAGGCTAATAGTGTGTGTGTGTGTGTGTGTGTGTATTTTTGAGATGGGATCTCGCTATGTTGCCCAGGTTGTCCTGGGCTCAAGCCATCTACCCATCTCAGGCTCCCAAGCAGCTGGGACTACATGCACATACCATCATGCCTGCCTAATATTTTGAATATTATAAAATGCAGGCAGAGAATAGATATCTAAAAAGAATAAGGTCAAGGCCCAGCTCTGAGGGCCTGGCACTCAGTCAGCCTCACACTGGGCAACTGAAACAGAATCCATAATGAATTACAAAAAGCAACTCAGATAAAGAATGGCAGCCCTGGCTTTGCTGAATGGAAGGTCTTGTGTCCTTGCAAGGACATGCTTCAGTGTGGGGAGCTGGGCAGGCCAAGGCTTGTTTGGCCCTTGCCTGGCTACTCACCCACAGTGAGGTCCAGGTGATTCCTTTCACCCAGGGCTCGCAACCTGTAGAGGCAGCCCCTCTGGTAATAATACTGTAGGAACTGGACACAGCCTGCAGGGGGAGCACAGCACCTGGGCTTAGGGCTGACAAACCTGAGGACAGGACAACTTTGCCTCTCCCCCAAAGCCCTAAGGCCCCCAAGTTCAGCAGACCTTACCAAACCACAGGCTGGTGGGACGTCACCAGCCAGAGGGCAGAAAATTCACCCTGGTTACAATCCTCTCCCACCCAATCCCAACACACACACACACACACACACTCTCTCTCTCTCTCTCTCTTTCTCTCTCCCCCACCCTCCCCACACTAGTCTGAATCTGCTTTATCCTCTATCCAGAATACAAAGACAGCTCAGATATGAGGACCCGTGTAAGACTGGAAACTTATGAAATTTTCCTAGGCACGCAGTACACGCTTGAGAGACACCTGCTGGAACGTAAGATGCCAGTGCTAAGCTGGAGGCTGCACACAGTGGAAGATCACAAGAGATGATGCCGTATAAGGGGATAATTCCTAGTTGCTAAACATGAGGAGGTACTGACATAACTAAATAACAGTTAAGATAAAAATTTTAAAAGTTATAGGGAGAAATGCTGGGAAGTGATATTGGCCAAATTATATTGTTATATTGTGTATTGTGTTCATGTACAGATATGTAACAAATCCCATCAGTATGTACATCTATAATGCACAATAAAAAATGTGGGAAAAATAAAATTAAGTTATAATAGTAAAGCTCTATGTCCATAATTATAAAATGTACATATGAAATGTATATACATACATACATATGTATGTGTGTGTATATACATAAACATTTGAGGGGGCTGTGGCTCAGTGGTAGGGCACTTTGCCGAGCACATGTAAGACACTGGGTTCAATCCTCAGCACCACATAAATTGTATCCATCTACAACTAAAAAAAAATATTTTAAAAAAACAACATTTGAAAGGACATAGATCTTAATGTTGATCACCCCTAAAGGTGGATTATTGTATTATTTTCATTGAATTTATATATTTATAGTTGTTTGCAAGCAGGTTTTTATTTAAAATCCAAGTAATATGGAGGGCTGGGGATACAGCACAGTATTAGAGCACTTGTGTAACATGCGCCAAGCCCTGGGTTTGATCCCCAGTACCTCAGGAAAAAAGAAAAAATGATAATACAGAGACAGGTATGGTGGTTGCACCTGTGTCCCAGAAACTGGGGCTGAGTCAGGAGGATCACTTGAACCCAGAAGTTTGAGGTCAGCCTGGAGTACACAGCAAGACCTGTCTTAGGGGTGTAGCTTGGTGGTAGAGCACATGCTCAGCATGCACAAGGCTGGGGATTGAAGCCCTAGCACCAAAGAAGGGAGGGAGGGAGGGAGGGAGGGAGGGAGGAAGAAAAAGGCAGGAGACAACCCCCTCAGAACCAATTCAGAATCAATTCACTGTATACCAATCCAGAGCTAATCTCTGCTTTTTTTTTTTTTTTTTTCTGGTACTGGGGATTGAATTCAGTACGATGGATGGAAAGACCTTAACCCTGAGCTACATCCCCAGCCCTTTTTATTCTATCTTGAAACAGGGTCTCATGAAGGTGTTTGGGTTGTTTAGAACTCTCTACCCTCCTGACTCAGCCTCCAGAGTCACAAGGATTACAGGTGAGCACCACCACATCCAGCCTTCAGAGCTACTCTAAAATGAAAAAAAAAAAAAATCCATTTTAAGGACTTATTTAAACCTGGAAACAAGGTTTGTGGCTCCAACACCACTCAGTTCCCAAAGGTTGCACTCCTGGGCAGAGGCTGGGGCTCCAAAGGGCAGGTGCAGGCTGATGTCCCTCTCCTAGGGCTGGGGGTGGGGAGGTAGGGTGGAGTTCAGCTGCCGGGCAGGGAATGGTTCTTTTCTGGATTTCTGGTCAGGGTCCTCTCCCTCCCTGGTCTCCCTCTACACAGGCCAGCAGTGATGTCCACTGGGGGGACCCCTTCAGTGAGAGCCCCAAGAAATCAGTCCCTCCCCCAAAGCTGGGCTCAGACACTCACTCTGAAAAATTGAGAATGCTAAAAACTGATTGCGAAACTTCTGATAAATTAGTCCATTGGGCCTGGAGAGAAAGAGGAAAAAAAAAAAGAGATGAGGTGCTCTGAAATCTTGACATTGGTCCCTGTCCCAGCTCCACTCCAACCAAGAGAGAAGAAAAGGTTTTAAAGTTAAGCCAGAGTCCCTGGTCTCTGCCATTATTTGTCCTGGAACTGGGCCAGGTCATGCCCATCATTCTTTCTAAAATGAAGAGAGCTTGGTAGTCATTCTGAAACCTCATTCATTCCTTTGGCCTTGATGTTCCCTGTCACCTCTGCCCCAGACAGCAGGCAACTGTGAAATATTCCCAGCTGTGGAAACTCCCAACTGGCCTGACAGGGCCCTGGCAGCTAGGCCTCTAGCCCAGTTGTAAATTCATACTTGCCTTCCTGACCCAAAAGTCTTCCCTAGAAGGGCCCCTTCCACATTGACCAGCCTCAATTCATCCAACTCCCTGGGGAAACTCTAGGGGCCCAGCAAGGGGCAACTCACCAGGTCAGCATCACTCCAGACAGGAACGTAGAGACATAATGGTGAGACACCCACCAGCCTTTAATTCTCGGGGAGAAAAGAAGGAAAGATGCTCAGGTGGGGACAGAAACACAGGTGATGGCCTCTGTTTCCAACCTATGCAGCAGGGGCTGCTCTACAGCTGGAAACAGCTTCTTGGAGTGAGAAACCAACAAAACCAAGGGCTGAGATGTGGTCCTGTGGTAGAGCACTTGCCTGGAAATGGGCACAAACCATACTCTGTCCCTTCTTGATCCTACAGAGATAATAATCCTATGCTGACTACCTGCAGATTATCCCAGCGACCCACCTCAGGTTCCAGGGGCTTTGGAGACCCTCATAACACATCCCTAACATCACCTGGCCTTCAGGCCCACCTCCCTGTCCTCTCTGGGCACCCAGATGTTCTGAGCATCCTGGCCTTTTCTTGAATTTGCCAAGCCTGCTGCTGCCTCAGGGCGATTATGGACTGAATTACATCCCCCCGAATTCTTATGTTGATATCTACTCCAGTACCTTAGAATGTGACTCTATTTGCAGATAGTGTCTTTTTTAAAAAAAATATTTTTAGTTGTATGTGAACACAATACCTTTATTTATTTATTTTTCTGTGGTGCTGAAGATCAAACTCAGTGCCCTACATGTGTTAGGCAAGCGCTCTACCACTGAGCTACAAACCTAGCCCCAGAGAGGGTCTTTAAAGAGGTAACTGAAGTTAACAGAGGTCACAAAGGTGACCTAATCCAATGTGACTGGTGTCGTTGTACACAGAGGAAAAGGCACCAGGGATAAGTGTGCACAGAGGAAAGGACACACTGTGAAGGTGGCCCTCTGCAAGCCAAGGAACAAAGACCTCAGAGACCAGCGTGCCAGCACCTTGACCCTGGACTTCCAGCTTATGGAACCATAAAGAATAAAGATGTAGTTTGAGATGCCCAGTATACAGTAGTCCCCGTGGCAGTCCAGCAGCTAGTACAAGGCCTCTATACCTGCTGCTCTCTCTGTTCCAAGTCTTCTGCCTGCTGGGGGTGGGTCTGAATTCAAGTTTCAGACTAACTTTCGCCTCTGCCAAAGGCCTTCGCTGACCACCTTGCTAAAACCCTGGATTACATTCCTGTTTAATTTTCTTCATGGTACTTACTGCCATCTAAGATTATGTACTCCTCTGTTACTGAGCCCCCTTTCCCACTCATCTGTAAATCCCAGGAGAGCAGGGATCTTGTCTATGTTGCTTACTGATGTATCTGTGACACCAAGATCAGAGCAGCTGCTCAGTTACTGTGTTGAATAAACACACAAATGTATATGCACTCACAAAGAGCCGTAGCCATGCTATCCTGTGCAGACACAGGGATGACAGACTCCACATGTGTCCACATCTGTCTCGGGTCTCTGCTGGCCTCCCCATCTCCTCTCTGGGAGCTGCAATCCAAACACATGGAGCAATGAGCTCTGCTAAATGCACCCTGGGAACAGCTGGGCTCCTTCCTCCCAAAGACTGGGCAATGGGTGACGGCCATGGAAATAGTAATCACCTCTGTTCTGTCATAATTCTTCCAGAACAGAGTACTGAGAAGGCAGATGTCCAGATGCTGTCTCTTATAAGGAAGAGGAACCACGAGAACCTGCTGCTGGGGAAGAGGGTGCTGCATGAGGCTTTCTTTTTAATGAAAACCAGCCTGCAGCTTGCTCTCCTGTCATCACCACCAGGCCAACTGGCAGCTACAGGCCTGCTATTTGGGGATGTGGCAAACAACATTCCAAGGAGTGGCTCTGCCATAGTCTACTTGGCTCTTCCACAAATGGTCACCATGCCTCTTCTCAATACTGTTGTGACATCCTTGTGGAAGTCCCCTGCATGACACTTTCTCCATGGTGGCTATCAGAAGCTGGACGACTGGGGCAGGTTATGTCTTGATACCTATCAAATCACCCTCCAAAACAGCTTCCCCAATTTACACTCCCATCAGCAGTAGATTTGTTTCCCAAAACCTTCACAAACACTAGAGACAACATTTAAATTTTTTTTTAGTTGTAGCTGGTCACCATACCTTTATTTTATTTATTTTTATGTGGTGCTGAGGACCGAACCCAGGGCCTTACACATGCTAGGCAAATGCTCTACCGCTAAGCCACAACCCCAGCCCAACATTTAAAATTTTTGTTACTCTCATTATGTCTTTTGTGGGGGGGGGGCACTGGGGATTGAACCCAGGGCCTCATACATGCCAGGCAAACACTTCACCATGGAGCTACACCCCTGTCACTGTTATTGGGATTTTTTTTTTGGCAGCAGGAGGGGGTAGGGCGGGGGAACCAGGGATTGATCTCAGGGGCACTCTACCACTAAGCCACATCCCCAGCCCTATTTTCTATTTTATTTGGAGACAGGGTCTCGCTGAGTTGCTTAGTACTTTGTTAAATTGCTGAGGCTGGCTGTGAACTCGTAATCCTCCTGCCTCCTGAGCTGCTGGGCATGTGCCACTGTGCCCAGCTGTTTGTCATTGGGATCCTAACTTGCATTTCCTAATAGGTGGGTTGGATCCATCTTAAAACCTTCCTACTGGAAAGTGCATGTCACAAGAATGAGGGCTGAATCTTAACCACCTCCTCTTCTCTTTTCAGCCCATAAGACATTTCTGGATATCAATTAGCTGTTCAGGCAACAGCCTATGTGTGACTCAAGGATTATGGTAAGAGATTTAGGTTTTACAAGGCTCTGTATTCCTAGCAATAACAGTACCAGGTAAACAACAAGCATTCAATAAATGTTGTCACGAATGAAGTGATATCCAGGAGGTGTGGCGAGTGAAAGCAGCAGCTAGTCTGTATGCCAACCACCACAGGAGATCACATTCATCCAAATCTTTGTCCCCAGCACTGCCCCAATTCTACTATCCTCTTCTTGCCTGTCTGAGTCTAAGAGGACCCCTGAATCCAATTTCCTAATAGTAAATTCAGCTGGCCAGATCCTCGGACTTTCAGCTTGAAGATCAACCAAGAGCCTGACATGGCAGTGCATGCCTATAATCTCAGCTGCTCAGGATGCTGAGGCAGGAGGATCACAAGTTTGAGGCCAACCTAAAATTTATTGAGATCTTGTCTTAAAATTAAAAGGGCTATGGGTGCAGCTCAGTGGAAGAGCACTTGTCCAGCATGCATGAGGCCCTTGGTTCAATTCCCAGGACCTCCCGCCACCAAAGGGCAACCAAAAGGTGTCACTGCAACCTCTCTAGAGTTCTGCAAAGCCACACAGGAGCTCTCAGATCTTGTCCCCAGACACTCTTTTGTCCTACTCCCCAAAGTTTCCCTGAGAAATGCCCTGGGCCAAACCCACACTCTGGACAAGCTTGACTGAGCAGCGGCTTTCAATTTCAGAGCTAGTGGTGCCCAGAGCCCAGTTTTGACAGATGCCACCAATAAACACAGCTCAGCACCATGGGGTGAAGCTAGAAACTGCATCTTCCCCAGCTTAGCATTCATGAGCCCTATGTCCATCTGTTCACCCCAGGGCTCGGGGCTGGTTTTGTGTCTGTGTGTTTTTATATAAAGGTTTGATTATGATATAGCTCAGATACCGTCAAATTCATCCAGTTATACAATTCAGTGGTTTTTATTATATTCTCAGAGCTGTGTAACCATCACAATCAATTCAGAACCTTTGAATCACCTCAAAAAGAACTCTGCAAAAACCCCATAGCAGTCACTTTCTGGGCCATGTTTGCCATAAAAACAAGGCCTGTGGACTTGTTCTTAGAAGCAGAGGGTATAGGACTCAGGAAGAGCAGGTGCAGGTGGGCCAGAGCAGAGGGATAGCACATTGGACTCTGCAGATCATGCCAGGGAGATTGCCCCTTCTCCCTTCAGGACACATTAGATAACGTCTGCGTGTGCAGAAGAGATGCACACCAGGCATTGTTCAACCCAAGGCAGCTTCTGGCTTTGGGGTTGGGGCAATCTGGACAGCTGGGGAATGGCTTCTACTCCTCCCTTGCCTGCAGCCCTCTACATGTTTGTTCCAAGGATAGGCCCCTGAAAAAGCCAGAGATCCAAGCACTGTGAGCTGGTTCTCTAGGAAAGCCAACCCAGTTGGATTGCCATCACTACTGATTTGGGCATAGAACTAACTATAGTGGATATCAGCTGTTTTGCCATCTGCCAATCACCACCCATCCTGGTCCGCGGCCTCAGGTATATAGGAAGTCACCCCACTCACACCATCGGCTGGTTTGGTGGAGCTGAGGACTGTATCCAGCACGTGTCTTAGAACTGGCCAATCGGTGTTCAGCAGCTCTTTGGCAACAGTGATTGGCTCAGGGGCCAGCAAGTCATCCCAATTTAACCAGTCAGAAGTTTGAAGATTCCCTCTGGATCTATGAGGATACAGGAGGGGCTCTCAGCTCTGGAACTGCTGACCCGATTCCTGGCCAACCTGGGCTTAGAGGAGCCAGCCCAGGGAGAACACTAGGGAGTTAGAGTGGGCTGTTAACATTGTTGGGAGTGGGTCATGCTGGCGTACGCCGCCAGAATCCCAGCAACTCAGGACACTGAAGCAGGAAGATCACCAAGTTTGAAGCCAGTCTTGGCAACTTAACGAGGCCCTGTCTCAAACAATAAGAAAGGGCTGGAGGTGTAGCTCAGTGACAGCACCCCTGGATCCAATCCCCAGGACCGGGGTGTGTGTTGGAGGGGGGCACTGTTGGAGCTTTTTTTCTCCTTTTCCCAGTTATGTGGGCTCATAAGTGCCCCCTCAGATTTAGACCCTCCTGGGTGGGTTTCCATCATTTGCCAAGTTTGCAAGGGAAGCTGACTTGCTTATTGAGCCAAAGAGCTACAGCTCAGGTGGGAGCCCGCACAGCAGGGGTGGCTTCATTTTGTGATGGGAATACACCCACACCCCAAGCCTGTTCCCAGAGAACTCCTTCTGTCCAAATTCAGGTCTCAGACACAACCAGGAAACAGACAAGAGTCTCGGGGATCCATCACGTATGACCACAAAAGTAGGACCCTAAATAGAATAAGTTACACTTTATGTATGTATATTCTGCCAAAGTCCATTCTACTGTCATGTATAACTAAGAATAAAAAATAAAAATCTTTTTAAAAAATGTCTCTGGGAGACAAGCCTGCAGGAGGTGCATATGGTTGGTTCTGCTCTACTGTCCCCACAATACCAGTATGGTCTCAAAGACCTTTCCTCACTGCAGAGCCTGGCTTCAATTCATTTCAACAAAGTCCATGGGGTGTTTGCTGGGTACCAGCCCTAAGCTCCTGAGCTGGCTCTGGGCTACTTAAGAAATGAGAAAAGCAGCACGCATCCCAACTTGGGCCCTCCTGCTGCCTCCGCCCATGCTTTTTGGGAATGGTTTCTTAGCTATTCCCTGGTGAGAAGCCAGAGCGGGAGAAACCTCCTGGACATCTTTCTTCATCTGCCCCAGGATAAATCAGCTCTGAGAAGGAGCTGGAGGAGGATGGAGACTAAATCTGCAGCAGATGTTGAAAACGAGTCACAAGTTTTGAGTCACCCAGATTCAGCCCACCTGCCTCATCCCCTCCCCCACAAGCCGGCCACAGCTTATTGCCGTCATTCTAGAAGCTGAGGCCCTCATTTGGGCCCACTGGCCTCATTCCAGGCTCTCCTCCCCAAGGCCAGTGTGGGATGACAGCCTGGAGGAATGGTTCCATCACAACTTGAGATTTCTTAGGCCACACTTACCAGGACAGGGCCTTTTTAAATTTGTGGGTGCTCCCAAAAAGTAGTGTGAGTTATCTTGGAGTCTTGTAACTCAGTGTCTGGTGCTCAATAAATATGTGATGAACAGCACATACTTGGGGGCAGGAAGAGCAAATGTACAGAAAGCTTTGCTGTGAAAGCCCAGAGAAAACACTCCTGCTCTTCCTTCAGCATCAACACCCAGGAGCCAGGAAAGCTCCTGCTAAACTGTTAGGCAAGTGAGGTTTGTCTCTGGAACTCCATCCCTCCCTTTAGTACCGGCGCTGAGCTCCACAATTTCAAGGACTCTCTCTCCTTCTCTTTGGTAACTCCCCCACCAACAGCTCAACATAGTAAAAACAAATAACAACAATAAAAAACTGGACAGAATAACTCTTCCTAAAGTGTGGATGACTGTTAAAGTTAAAGCATGAGCCCAAGTTATCTCTCCTAAATTTTTTATACCTTTATTTATTTATTTTTATGTGGTGCTGAGGATCGAACTCAGGGCCTCGCACATGCTAAGTGAGCACTCTACTGCTGAGCCACAACCCCAGCCTCCCCACCCAAGCTCTCTTAATAGAAGCTCAGCATAAGGGTGAAACAGCAAGATGACGGCAAGTCCACAGCTACAGAAAAGAATTAGTGATAAAAGTGTCTTGCCAATTGCCCTGGTCTCATTTCCCTATCATCTGGATTCTTTCCAACCACATCCCAAAAAGGATAGATACTATTCACTCTAAAATTAATGTTACTTATAACTTAATGTTAATATGAATGTTACTTATTAAATTAATTGTACTATGAATGTTACTTATTTGGTAAGGTCTTCTACTTCAGTGTTCCCCAAAGCATAGGTGCATGCCACCCAGTTTTAGGATGACATGAGAGCATCACACCAAATGTAATGAACCTCAAGGAAAGGTCCACTGTTTAGTTCTTCTCCTTTCCCGATTAACTCGAGGAGAGTCTGGGTTACATGCTAGGATATCTTTAATGCCTCTTGAGATCTGCTCACCCCCCTTTTGCTACACACACACACACACACACAGCAAACTTCAGGCCCAAGGGCTCAAGAAGCAAGAATAACTGACATCAACGATCTCTACAGGGAAAATAGTAGGATACTTTTACAGAACTCTTCTCCAACTGCTGGTTGTTTTCCATGAATGATGGTGAAATAAAGTTTTCTATAATCATAAATCAATATACATTTAAGTTTAAAAAAAAGGAGGATTGATTTAAAATGTAAGGAAATCATCACCCAGGTTGTACATGAATATGGCAAAAATGGTGAGGACAGGACAAGAATGAGCAGTCTGAGAAACACTGATCTGTCTAAACAGCTGTGCTATAGGCTGTGCTCCTGAGTCACTGTGCCCACCCCCATGGGCTGGCAGGAGGGATATGGTGGTCCTTACCTCTTGGCTTTATGTTCAGGGTGAGATCCGGCAGGGCAGGGACCTGCCATGAGAGACCACCAGGCAAAAAAGTGAGAAGGTGGCAAATAATTTCAGGGGTTTGGCAGATGTTCATTTCTTGGCTGATCCTTACCAGTCCCAGAAAGCAGGAAGTAGGAAGGGGTTGGGAGGCTGTTCCATGGTCACCCCCCAAAGAATCAGACCTTCAGAAAATGAGTCCTCCACGTGGCAAGGCATGGGTCTTTTATCTACCCCCCATGCTGGGGATCAAATCCCGGGCCTTATAACATACTCTACTCCCAACCCCCCAAGTAATGGATCTTAACTAGGTCCCATGACTCTGCTCAAGGGCAGGTAGAACAGAAAGGAGACCAAGAGAAAAACAGTGGGGTTTCTCAGACTCAGAACCTTTTAGAGATGGGGAAAGTTGGGGACACCCAATCATGCCAAGATTCACTCATGACACTAACGCAATCGCTTCCCCCAAGGGACCTGAAAACCACCCAAAGAGGGATATGGCTTGCCCAGGGCCACAGAGCTGCTCAGTGACAGCACTGGTACTAGAACCCAGGAATTCTCATTCCTAACACAGGATACGTTTGGCCCAAGACCCTCACCAACCTGTCTATTCTTCTCCCCATCTCCTTGTATAGGACCTTCCACTCTTGACACCAAAACTCATCACCCTCCTAGAAATAATATCCTAGTGTTCCTCTGAGGAACTTTTCCCCTCCTGACAAGTGTTTCTGTGCTGCTAACAATGGCTGCAGGGTGGGCAGGAGGCTCCAGCCTAGCCAGTCACAGCAGTGTACTGGCGGGCAGCAGTTCAGAGACCCAGTCAGCTCCTGGACCCAACCAATGGGACCCAGTTGCTGAGCCATGGAACAGAGAAATATGTCCTGTTTGCCAAGAGTGATGGTGTGGAGCCTGAGAGTGAAACAACACAGGAGAGGGCAGAGCTGAGAAATGGAGAAATGGGTCCTGATGACACTGTCAGAACACCTAGGTTAGGCCTTACCTGAAGTCAGAACCAATGAACCTGCTCATTTTGTGAGACAACAGATTTCCTGTTACACTAAACCAGTTTGAAGTAGGATTCCTTGCTCCTCCGCAGAATAACCATGAACATGAAACTGCGCCAGCAGCATCAGATGCAGTGTCCCTCTTCTCTGGGTCACAGAGCCCCCAAGAGGAAAGGGAATGCAGGTTGAGGGTATCAATCCTCACCTGACTCCCCTTCATGACAGAATTCCTTTTGGCTCCCTCTGCGCCCCCCACAATCTGGGCTCCCAGTTACCTCGAGCCGTTGCTGATGAGAATACTCTCCCGGATCGTCAGGGTGCAGTAATACCACACCAGCAGGAAGTTAAAAACTTCATCCGTCACCCTGGCATGAAGAAACAGCCCCAGGGAGGGGAGCAACGTGAGCACCAGGACAGCCAGCCCTTCACCCCAAAAGGACAGCACCAGGGCAAGGGCTGCCCATGGCAGGCGCTACCTCTGGAAACCCCTACTCCACCTTGGCAAGCAGCAGTCTGGACCCTGGATGTCTCCTCTCTCCCTGTAATGTCCAGGGCCACTGCTCTTCCTTCTACCGGGCCCTACCTGCACTCCAGGCTCTAGCTGAGGATCTCCTCCTCCCTGGTCCAATGCCCAAGGCAACCCATCTCTAAACTCTTCCTGTCTGGGAAGATTCTGGATGACAACAGAAGGACCTTTAAGAACTGTTCTATTTTAGGTTGTTTGTCTTCAATGGTAAGATGCAAATTCCTCCCATCTCCTCAAACCAGGTAGTTTTGGGGTGGGGGTTACTGGGGATAGATTCTAGGTGTCTCTACCACTGAGACAGATCCCAAGACCTTTTTATTTGTTTAATTTAATTTTTTTTTTTGTGTGTGTGTGTGTGTGTGGTGCTGGGGATTGAACCCAGGGCTTTATGCATGCAAGGCAACCACTTTACCAATTGAGCTATATCCCCAGTCCCCTTAATTTAATTTTTGACAGGGTCTCTCACTAAGTTGCTGAGGCTGGCCTCCAACTTAGGATCCTCCTGCCTCAGCCTCCACACTCACTGAGATTACAGGTGTGTGCCACCACACCTGGTTAAACCATTTGTTACACATATGAAATGAGTCTTAATGGCCTATGTGAGCTACCAAGCTAAATGAAGAAATACTCCTTTGCCTCTTCTACTGTGATTGTAGCCTGGAACCTAGCTGAGCAGGTCTCAGATGCAGACAGAATGGACTGCTGATGCCCATGGGGCTATGGGCCTCAGCTTGCCATCTGTAAAGTGAGAAAGCTGGCCCCCTACCAGAGCATCCCAGGGCAAAGGGTCCTGGGAAAGAGCCAGTGGCAAACAGCCCTCTAAGGCACCCCTGCCAGCAAAGGCTCTGGTGGAGGGCTCTGTCTTTGACCCTGACAGGGAAGCTCTTCTGCACCTGCCAGTGCCAGAAAGACTTCTCCCAGGAGAAATGACCATGGGTCTGGGCTGTCTGCAGATAAGGGAGGAAAAACACCCCAATTTCCCTGAAGTGGGAGACCCTCTTCCCTCAGAGGGAAGGAGGGAGGATGCAACTTCGGCAACAATGAATAAAATTAGGGGTGTCTCTGAAGCTATGTGACTGTGTTTTGTGGAGTGAGATGACAGTTACCCTCAGACCCCAGGGCTGAACTGCTGTCACCCACAAAGATAGTCTCAGGAAGGTCAGGATTCCTGAATTCACTCTGGAATTCCAGGCCTGAGTCCAAATCCCAGCTCTGTCACTTCCCAGCTGTGGGACTGAGGATGAGTGAGCCGCTCCTTGGAGCCCACACTTCCCCTCTGTAATGTGGGAGGGTAATGGCACCTGCTGTGAAGGGCTGCCATGCTCACGAGCTCAGTTAATACAGAGTGCTTAAGACAGTGTAGCAGAGCTGTGCATGTTCTGGGTTAAAACTCTGGAAGTACCAGACCATCCAGTCTGCAAAATGAGGTTCAGAAGCTTATCACTGAGGAATCAGAGGCCCACAGGACTGGATGAGAAGTGAGGGTGGCAAGAGACAGGTATCCCAGGACAGAGGGTCACTTTTTTTTTTTTTTTTTTTTTTTTTTTGGTACTAGGGAGTCTAGTACCAAAATCCAAGGGTGCTCAACCACTGAGCCACATCCCCATCCCTTTTTATATTTTATTTAGAGACAGGGTCTCACTGAGTGGCTGAGGGCCTTGCTAAATTATTGAGGCTGGCTTTGAACTAGCTCCTGCCTCAGCCTCCTGAGCCGCTGGGTTTATAGGCATGTGCCACTACACACAGCTGGGTGAGGGTCACTTTCAATGCAGGTTTTCCTGTTCACCTCCAGCAGGAGGAAAGCACAATAGCCAGCTGTGGATACAAGGACATTTTCGCTAATCCCTTCCTAAATCTTCTGGATGAAGACAGGAGTCAAAACAAAATGTTATGGTTCTAGCACTTGCTCTGACTTGCTTCAGGTGCTGGCCTCAATCTGCTTGGCAAAGTGTGTGAGTTTCCTATGGCTGCTGTAACAAATCACCTTGAACTAAACGGTTTAAAGAAACCATTTAATCTCCTACCATTCTGGAGGTCAAAAGTCTGAACTGGATCTCACCAGGCTAAAATCAAGCTTTTGGCAGGCCTGATCCCTGCTGGAGGCTCTCAGGGAGAATATGCTTCCTGTCCTTTTCTAGTTTCCAGAGGCTGCCGTATTTCTTGTCCTTGTACCATTCCTATCTTGGTTTCTGTCATCACATCTCCTCCTGGGACTCTGATTCTTCTGCCTCCCTCTTATGAGGACTCTTATGATGACCCTGGGTCCATATGAATAACCCAGGCTAACCTGCACATCTCCAGATCCTTAACCCAATCATATCTGCAGAATCCCTCTTGCCATATAAGAGAGTGTGTTCACAGGTTGCAGAGACGAGGACGGGACCACTACTCAGCCTCTCACACTGGTCAGCACTGGTAACCGGAAACTTGCTATGCTACGCGCATTCTGCACGGATGGTCACTCTGAATCCTTGAAAAGCCCTGCACAAAGCAGGTACATGTACCACGCTCACGCCTGCATGACTTCCAATTGCCAGAACCTGCCACTCTTGATGTACCCAGGGCTCTCTTGGGCCACCACAGCCACTCTTCTGGTGCACAAAGCAGATCAGAAGGTGGAGGAATTAGTACCCTCTAGGAGCAGTCCCTAGCTTCCCTGATGGACAGCAGTGGGAGGACGACACACCAGCTGCCTAGCCCTCAGGTGGGACATCCCAGGTTGTTCTGTACTGTCCTGGATTCTCTGCAGCACTGAGCTCCAAATGCCTATGGGATGGCTATTCTTTGTTTCACTTTTCGTTCGGCTACCCGTGTTTCCTAGGATCATCTATCATAGGGACTGAAATACTTGTCTTGGGGTATTATATATTCGTCTTCTAAAGGAAACCCAAGGATGGAACTACTTCCTACTTTACAGATGAGGAAACAAAGGTTCAGAGAGGGGGAGTGAGTTGCCCAGGATCACACAGCTGCTAAGCCTTGGAATGAGATCCAAGGCTTAGCAGCTGGCTAAGGCTTGAGACCTGGCTTGAAATCCCATAAAGCAGTTCTGACCTGACAGCTTCTTGGCTTGAAGACTGCAGAGAGAAGTCTCAAACTTTCTAGGTACCTCAGATACCTAGAAAAATCTTCCTAAACACCAGGCAGCATGGATAAGAGGGGTCCTAGGGACCATGGGAAAGACGAGGAAGCAGAGTGGTGAAGGGCTATACTCAAGGTCACATAGCCTGTGAGTGGTAGAGTTGGGCTTAGGACCCAGGGCTCTGAAGCTGTTGGCTGTCAAACTGCAAGCTTAGAGGTATCAAGGAGGGCATTTGGGTGGAGCACCCAGCAAGGAAACTATGCCAAGGGGGAAAGTATAACCCTGCTAGTTGGGCACACTGAATATTAAGCTGTGATCTTTGGGGGGCAGATGGGAAGATAGATTCTGGCTATGTTTTCAGGCTGATCTTAAACTCATGGGCTCAAACAACTCATGGTTGCATGCACCTGTAGCTGAACTACAGGTGCATGCAACCATGCCTGGCTGTGATCTTCCTGAGAGCCCAGTCCTAAAACAAGGTGACAGTGATAATAACAGTAGTAAGTACTAATGGCTCCATAGCAAGCTCCCCTGTGGTCACCAGGAGAGAGAAGCTGCCTGCCCAGTCCCACCCCCTGCCCCTTTTTCAGCCTACGAATGGTGTACTGGGTTGAAACAGTGTCCCCCAAAACTCATATCCACTGGGACCTCAGCATGTGACCTCATTTGGAAATAGGGTCTTTATAAATGTGAGAAGTTTAAACGAAGTCATACTGGGTTAGGGTGAGTCCTAAATCCAATGGCTGGTGTCCTTACAAGAAGGCCATGAGGGAGACACTCAGGAATGGAACCATGTGTCAACAGATGCAGCGACTGAGGTAAAAGGACTTAAAGCCAAGGAACATTACGGACTACCAGGGAGGACAGCCAAGGAAGAACCTGCCTTGGAGCCTGCCAACACCTTGATTTCTGGCCTCCCGAGCCACCAGAGAAGAGGACGGATTTCTGTGGTTTTAAGCTCCCCCAGTTGGTGGGACGTCTTATGGCAGCCCCAGGAGACTGAAACATAGGGGAGGGGGAGAAATGGGACTATCCATCCAGGCCCTGGGTGAAGAACTTGACAACACAGTCCAGGTTTCCCCTGGAGGGCCCTAGAGGTCCCCATGCAAGGGAATATGGTTGCACACCAAGAACTTTTACCACTTCCAGAGGGGAGGGTGAGCAGGTATTACTGGTGTGCACAGCCTCTGCCCCCAGGGAAGTGGGCCAGGCTCCACGCAGCAGGCAAACATGAGCCCAGGGCGTGCGAGAGCCTGTCGGGTCACCTGAGTGCCAGATCAGCAGCTGGACTCTCAGCCAAGGGCAGAAAATAAACTCTTGACACATGGACAAAATCCAAAACCATACTTGGCTGCCTCCCCTGAGGGCAGAAGAACCAAGGCCAGAGGAAAGAAAGGACCCCAGGGCAGTGCAGCGCAGCCCCACCTCCCTCCTTGGAGAGCTTGCCAACCACAGAATGTGGATGCACTGAACCTTCCCCACCCTGTGAAGTATGGCCTGTTGTCACCTTGTCTTACAGATGGGGAGACTAAGGCTCCCAGGGGGAACCCACCCATGGTAACAGCCAGTTAGTCTCAAAGCCAGTGTTTAAACCCAGGCATTCTGGGCTAAATCTTTTTCTTTTTGTATTTTTTAAATTTCTTTCTTTCTTCTATTTTTGCAATTCAGATATAATCCACTTACCTTTTAAAGTATTCAGTGGGTTTTGTTATATTCACAGAACTGTGTGCAACTGACATTACCTAATTTCAGAACTTTCTTATCACCCCAAAAAGAAACCCTATAATCCATGAACAGCCACTCCCTGTTGCCCCTCCTCCAGCCCCTCCTCCAGCAGGCTCTGACCTGAGCTGTCTCTAGATTGACCTACCGTGGATATTTCCTATCCATGCAATCATGCAACATGGTTTTCTGGGTCTGCCTTCTTCACTTAGCAGCAGCCTATTGCCCCTTCTGCTTTATGGCTGAACAGCATCCTGTTGTATGGATGTGCCACACTGGACTCTGTCTTAACTACTGCATCAGAGGGCCCTCCAGCAGCCCTGTAGGCCCTCCACAGGTGATCAGCATTACAGTTTCCCATGAGAAATGGTCCTTCCCCCCTATATCTTATCACACCAAACACTCCAGGAGCATAAGGGACCTTGCCTCCATCTGGCCACCTCTCTCTCCTGACCCCCTCCTCACACCACATGTGCCCATGCACACACTGCCACGCCCCACTACCTGTAGTGAAGGACAAAGCGACACGCCACAGCTCCCAGGAGCAGGATTATAGTCAGGTAGAGCTTGAACTTCTCATACTCATCCTTGTAGGCAAACCTGCCATGACATAACCCCCCAAGAAAGGTCACATTCTATTAGTATTCCACTCCACTCCCAGCCCTGCCAGTTCCAGGACTACCACCACTGCCACAACCCATGAGGACCTGCACATTCCACTAAAGGAGACACTGGCCTTGAGTCAGCAGTGACCAATGAAGGAAAGAGGGCCAACTACAAAAGGTCCCCCTGTCCCTGGACTCCTGGTTAGAGCTTTGGGCCCATGATGCAAAGAGGCAGGGCAGAGATAGAGTCTCTCCCTCAACCAAGTGGTGCAGCAGAAACACAAGGGTCACTCTTGCCTAGAAATGGAGAGATTCCAGGGGACAGGAGCACCCATTTCCCATGGGAAATGCTCTAACAAGGGAAGTAATAAATGTTATAAGAAGGGAACAGAGCAGGGGCCACTCTCATGGGAAATGGGGAACCTTATCCACCAACATATTGACTCTGGGAAAAGAAGGAAGGAAACCTTCCCCAAGGTGTCTACCCACTAAGGAGGACCAGGCCAGAAAGACCAAAAGCCAGAGCCCAAACTGCTATCCTGCTTTGATTTATGTAAAAATTCTAGCTTGGACCTATCTTCCCTGAGTGAAAAGAGCAAGATGCCTGGATTTTGAGCCAATAGGTGGGTGGAGGGGCAGGTCCAGTCATACTTACTTGGCCTGGTTGCTGAGGAGGGTCACATTCACATTACCAAGGACCAGATTCAAGTAGAGCCTGGAAGGAAAGACCTGTGAGAGCCACATTCCTGAACAGCCTTGAGAGTCGTCCCACCCAAAATTATGCACTGAGCACTTAATATGAGAAAATAGGCACCAGAGCAAATGAGAACAATGATTAATTCAAGAATATGGCAGCTTGTACATGGAAGTCTATTAGCTCATTTCCCCCATCAAAGCTGGCTTAGAGAACCTATTGCCCCTTCTCCCGTACAGCCAGATGTAAGCGTGTGACTAAGTTCCAGGCAATGAAGTGAGGTGAAGGCATAAGTATAATCTCTAGATCAATTTAGAAAGTGTTTTTTTAAGTGGTACTGAGGATTGAACCCAGAGGTGCTCTACGACTGAATTACATCCCCAGTCCTTTTTATACACACACACACACACACACACACACACACACACACACACACACA